TTCAAAATTCATGTACTTCTTAAATCACTAGTTTCCATTCCCATCCAGTGAACCACCATAGAGATTTAGATTGGGGATTTGTTGCAATTTGATTCCAGATAAGTGCGTCTTGTATTTGCTTTTAACTTTATCTTTTCATGAAGGTTCACATCAAACATGTGTTGTAATCCCCCCTTTTCCCTTTGTCTCTGCCTCTTAAGTTGTTGATTGTCTACAGAAGACAGGATTTTGTATGCTATTGATGTATTTCTTTCCTCCCTTCAGATTATGTGTTGCTAATTTAAGTTCTTTTTTGTTTATTTTGATAAGATTGAGACAGAAGATGGTGAAGAGGAGTCTGAAGGCCCAGATTCTGAAAGTGATGAGGTTTTAGATTTATCCAAGATCACGAAGACGAGGCTTATTCCTTCAGATGCTGGCCAATGTGTGTATATTTTAGAGCTTGTCTGTTTAGATTCTTTCTGTACTGGTATTCTTGCTGTTTAACTGTGGATGCTGACTTTTCTCTGGATTTCTTCCTTGATGGTGGACACTTTGTTTCAGATATTCTCCGTGTGTGCCAAGCTGAATCCTGATCCTATTGAAGGTGGGTCTCTCTACACAGTATGGAGATTGAAGATTATTGAGAAATGAGAACTTCTTTTGGTGTTTTATGGTGTGCTTACCTTTTTATTTCATGACAATGTACTGTTTTTGTTTCTTCTACTTTTTAGAAGATGAAGAGGGACAAGGTTGGGTTTCAGTGCTGATCAGATGGTAGATGAGGCTAGAGGCATGTGCTGCCTAATGACTATTCTTCTTTTCTTGATGTTTGTTCATATTCTATCCTTTTAGTGACCGATCAAGATTTCCAGAAAATGACGATTCTGAATGGGATTTCTCCCACAATCCAGTGAGCTCTATTGGTCAGTGAAATGTCAATCATGACCGTCCTCATTCAGTGCTTCAGGTGGGCTGCTAACATGTTTGTGGTTCTCAAATATGATTGTGCTCCTTTGGGTTATGATTAAGTTTCCTCAACATCATCTACTTTGTGCTTCAACAGTAAATGTTAAACCTCTAATTAGATAAATTTCTTGCTGTTTTCTGCATGCACAGTCTTTTTTCCTGAAAAGTTGTTTTCTTTTCATATCTTACCTCCTTAATGGCTTCTCTTTTGATAAGAATTTATAATTGCAGCTTCAGAGTAATGACCAACGCTTTGAAGATGCAGAAGAGATGGAAAATGTTTGTGACAGTGCCCATCAATGAGTTATTTATGCTAGTTTTTCTTTTATCCATTCACAGGAAGTTTATAGTTTGGCAGAGTAAACTAAATGCATGGGTTGCTTTTAACCACATTCACCCCAAGCATTGCTGTGTCGACTTAATGATTGGTTTGAGTTTGCACCTTTTTCCTTGTAGGTATTCCGACTTTGATATTTTATTTTGCCATTGTCCTCTCACATTTGTATATTAAAAGTGATCAATTTCTAACACTAAATTCTGAAGTCAAGATTAGAGGATTTGCAAGTTCTAGTTAGCATATCACTGCCACCGGTGGTATGCCCCAGCAATGGCTTGTGTACAAATACAAATTTCCGGGATCCTATATCACTTGTGGTCCAGACATCCACGATAATGACTTGTGTGCGTACGACTAATACAATTCATGCCAACCAGAGTTATGGATTATTTTCTTTAAGAGGTTCATGTTTCTCAGGTTGGACTTTTCATTAAACGTTGATAATAGAATAATTAAAAATGATGAAAATTTAATATCAAAATTTTATATTAATAATATGATATAAATTATATTATTTAAAATATTAAAAAATAAATTTAATATTATTTAATAATTAATTTTTTTAAAAAAAGATTTATAATATTATATATTAATTAATTTA